CAGGCAATATCAGTCCAAAGAACAATGCTGGAGGTATCCACAATACCCACTTAAACTATACTTACAAAGCAATTTAACAATAAAAACAGCATGGTCTGGCAACAAAAACAGACATGAAGACCAGTGAACAGAATAGAGGACCGAGATATGAAGCCACACAACTATAACCAACTGTCTTTGACACAAGGAGCCTAAAAATATACGATGGAGAAAAGACAGCCTCTTCAACAAAAACTGCTGGAAAACTGGTTGCAGTCTGCAAAAAACTAAACTAGATCATGTTATACTCCCTGTACCAACATATAACGTCAAAATGGTCAAGGATCTTAATATCAGACCAAACTCTAAAGTTGGTACAGGAAAGAGTAGAAATACTCTGGAATAATAGTATAGGGCAAGAACTTTCTCAATGGAACCCCAGCAGCTTAGCATAGATAAATGGGACTATCATAAAACTAAAAAGCTTCTGTTCAACAAAAGAAATGGTCTCTAAACCTGAAGAGACCCAGAGTGGGAGAAAATATTTGCCAACTACACATCAGACAAAGGACTGATAACAGAATATATAGGGAACTCAAAAAAACTAAATTCTCAAAATTAATGAACCAATAAAGAAATGGGCAAGTGAACTAAACAGAACTTTCTCAAAAGCAAGAAATTCAAATGGCCAAAAACACATGAAAAAATGCTCACCATCTCTAGCAATAAAGAAATGCAAATTAAAACCACACTAAGATTCCACCTCACCCTGTTAGAATAGCCATCATTTAGCAACACCACCAACAACAGTGTTGGGCGAGGATGTGGGGAAAAAGGAACCCCTTACACTGTGGTGGGGAATGTAAACTAGTACAACCACTCTGGAAAAAATTTGGAGGCTACTTAAAAAGCTAAACATTGATCTACCATTGATCCAGCAATACCACTCTTGGGGAATACCCAAAACGTGACACAGGTTACTCCAGAGGCACCTCACACCATGTTATTGCAGCACTATTCACAATACCAAGTTATGGAACAGCAGAGCCCACTACTAGAATGGATCAAGAAAATGTGTATCTATACACAATGGAATTTTAATGCAGCCATGAAGAAGAAATGAAATGTTATCATTCGCTGGTAAATGGATGGAATTGGAGAACATCATTCTGAGTGAGGTTAGCCTGGCCCAAAAGACCAAAATCATATGTTCTCCCTCATATTGGACATTAGATCAAGGGCAAACACAACAAGGGATTGGACTTTGATCAAAGATTCAAGTGAGGATAGGTTAGAAGCACCTAAAACTTAGCTAGCATTTGTTGCCCTCAATGCAGAGAAACTAAAGCAGATACTTTAAGCGACGAGGCCAATGGAGAAGGGCGACAGGAACTAGAGAAAAGGTTTAGTTCAAGAAGAATTAATTTAGAAGGTACACTGCGCACAGGAAATCAATGTGAGTCTCTCCTGTATAGCCTATCCTACTCAACCAGCAAAAACCCTTGTTCCTTCCTATTATTGCTTATGCTCTCTCTTCAACAAAATTAGACATAAGGGCAAAATAGTTTCTGCCAGGTAGCGAGAGGGTTGGGGGGAGAGGGTGGAGGCGAGGGGGAAGGGAGAGGGTTAGGGTAAGGGGGGAGAAATGACCCAAGCATTGTATGCACATATGAATAAAATAAGAAAAAAAATGTGCATGAAATAATGACATTTAAAAACAATGAAAATGAATCCTAGGAGAGTTCCCATTAGCATTCCTGCTCGAAAGGAAATTATAAAACTTGTAATTAAGGCTGGATAGTGACCCGTATAGAAGATCTAACACACAAGAAGAGCCACAGACAAGGACAGGATGAAACACACTAGGCAAAGCTAAATGCACACTGACTGTATGAAACAACAATAGGAACTCCTGTGGAGTTTAAAGATACAGAGCTAAAGGTTGTCGGTGTGATTCAAATGATAGAGCTCCTGCCTAGCACGTGCAGAGTCGTGAGTTCAAACCCCAGTGCTGCCAAAAAAAAACCACAACTAAAATGTACTGCAACAGTAAATATATATATAATAGAACAAGTAAGTGGACACACAGTACTCAGGACCTTGTATTGTTAGGAAATGAATAATATATTAAATAGGCCATTCAATAAGCTTTGATTGTAGTGAGTTCAGCGTTCATGCTGCAGTTTCCATGAGCTAGTGAATAAACAGGCACACAACTTTCAAACTAAAAGAGGCATTGGGGAGAAAAAGAGGACAAAGAGAAAACAGAGGACATGTGGATGAAAAAAGGAAAAGTCATGGTTGTTTAAGCCCTAAGTGCTGTGTAGGCCATTCTGTCTTTCCATCCCCTGCCATTACTAAGCACCCCAAAACTCAGCCACTTAAAACAAGCAGCATTTTTTTTTTCTGAGTCTTCAGGTCATCTGGGTGGTCTTCTGCCTTCTACTGGATCATCATGTGTGTGCAGTCACAGGGGACCTGGCCTGGGTAGGAAGCATTGGCTGACCTCACCTGAGCTCTGGTGTGTAGAGGTTGTGCTGGCTGTGACCAGGACCCTAGAGACACTTTGCCTTTCTCCACACAGTCTCTCCCAACTCCAGAAGTCCTTCCCTGGTCTGCTCTCATGGCAAAACAGGATTCAGAGAAAACAGAAGCACTCGAGTTCTTTGAAGCTGAGCTCTGACCCAGCCACAGCATTCACCTGCGTTCTGCTGGTCAAGCCAGTCACCAGCGCAATACTACAGGCCTGGAAAAGACTTTATGTAGCTACAAAATCTCATAGAGGGCATGGCTTAAGAAAGCTATAACAACCATGTTGCAGTTTAATGTATGTCAGTGATAAAATGCAACACAGGCTGGACGAGGAGCAAGTGCTGAGATGTGTATTTCGGCAATTTGACATTTGTGTGAATATCATGGAGTTTCTCCACAAACCAAGACAGCTGTGCTGTCACTAAGGTGATCCCGTCTTATGGTCTTACGGGATCACTGTCTTATTTGCAGTTTGTCATTGACTGAAACATCGTTAAATGATACATGGCTGTAGAACTGTTTGCTGTGATTAAAACCCAAAGAATGTCAAATTGAAAAACAAGAAGTTCAAATATATGTGTGTCTTGTTTTCAAGAGACACATCTGAAACAAGGTTACATAAAATTTACAAGTAAGAAAATGGAAAAGGATGAACAACATCAATACTATCCAAAATAAAAAATAAAAACACATTAGCCAGTGAAAAATAAATAGATTTCAAGGTTAAAAGCAACACTAGGAAGAGAGAGGGTAATTTCAAAATAAGAGCAGCTTCTGTTTTCTAGAAAGATTCAGCGAATTTAAATTCATGTCCGTCTATTAGCACAGGGTAAGACTCAGCCCCGAGTTGGCAGGGCTAGCATTGCCATCAGACATGAGCAAGCCCTGCCCCAAAACTGCAAACACGCATTCTTTTCAAGCATGCATGGACATGTATTAAAATTGACCAAACACTACGAAAAGCAAATGAACAGAACGCAAAGAGTTGGAAATTCCGCATGGACCCTATTCTCTGTTCCAGTGCAATTGATCTTTAACCCAGTTACAAAAAGACAACCAAATAATGGCCATATATTTGGAAATTAAGAAACATGTTTCGAGCCCAGCATGGTGGCTCACACCTGTAATCCCAGCTATCTAGAATGTGGAGGTAAGAGGATCACAGATGAAGGCCAGCCCTAGGCAGAATCACAAGACCCTATCTGAAAGATAAATGAAGCATAAATGGACAGGGATGTGGCTCAAGGCCTGAGTTCAACCCCAGTACCACGTGAAAAGAAGAAATTACAATTTTTAGTAACATATAAAATATGTATTATATGACATTAAGTAAAAACAGTACACAAAATGAGATATTTAGTATAATCTTAACGTTTTCTGAAATTTATGGAAACACCTGCTCAGAAATATGTTAAATGGGAATATATTTGACAGCTATAGACTGGTAGGTGGCCTTTATTTCTTTATACTTTTCAAATTTTGTACTTCCCCAAACTTAAAATATTTGTTACAGTTTTAAAAGACTAAAAAAAGAAAATTTTAAGAAGATATATCCCACTGAGCACAGTTGCTCATGCCTGTAATCCCAGCTACCTGGGAGACAGAGATTAAGAGGATGGAGGTTCCAGGCAAGCCTGGGCAAAAAGTTAGCGAGCTTCCATCTCAACTAAAAAGCTGGACATGGTAGTTCACATCTGTAATTCCAGCTGTGTGGGAGGATCCTGGTCTGAGGCCAGTTCAGGCAAAAGCATGGGATCTTATATGAAAAAGTAACTAAAAGCAAAAAGGGTTGGGGTAGCTCACATGGTAGAGCACCTGCCTAGCAAGTGGAAGGTCCTGAGTTCAAACCCCAGTGCCACAAAAAAAAAAAAAAGCAGCTACATCCTTCTGCTTCCAATCTTCAGTTCATAGTAAGGTTAGAATCAGAGGAGTGATTCTAAATGAATCACTTCATTTAGAGACACCCAGATGGTGGACATCAGAAACTGGCCTCATGGCCCAGAGCTGAATTGCAGCTCTCTGGAGTTGTGGGCCGATGCCGTGAGCACTGTCTGTCGTGCCTCCTGCCTCATCTCATCGCTTAGCCACCTGCCGGGCCCTCGCCCATGTGCCAACAGCGCGGACTTGGGAGTAACGCTGCCGGACTGACCAGTGGGACTATGGCCCGCTCGTGTGATTGTGAGCTGAGACTGGCAGTTTTCAAAGTCTGGTCTGTGCCTCTTTACCTGGTGTTTTGTGCTCTGATTATTTTTTTGTTAAGGTAGGGGATCTTTTCTCTCTAGGAATATGGAAACATGTTTATGTTGACAATTGGTAGTTACAGAACATACAAATGTTGGGCAAATCCCTTAATTAGGAGAAATATTGGGTACCAAACTGAGCTCAAGCAGATGTTCAAAACACATATGCTCCCCTCTGAAGCCAATGAAAGATAGCCGCATTTTAATACATCTGATAAGTGACTGAATCTTTCTACTGTCTTTCTTCAGAAAAAAGCAATTCCGGTATCTACTAGACACCAAAGGGAAAAAGCCCTGTATTGTCAGTGAAGAGAATAATGACAGCAAAAGACTTGTGGGAGAAAACACAAACCGTGCCACCCTGAACTACACCACTAGAGAGTTTTACAACGAGAAGCTAGAGGTACAGTGCCGTCCATTCACCTTGGGATGCAGGGCTTGTGCATTTCACCCCTACTGTACAAAGCTGGGAACAGCAGCCACCAAGGAAATAGGAAGAAGTGAAGCCCCAAGAGAAAGACTACTAGCCTGTGGTCCTAATCTCTTTATTACAATAGAAAAGACGGTTCAAAAGAAATCCGTGCCAAAAATCTAGACCAAAATAGGGCTAAGATGATCTGTCTAAAGTAAGAAAAATAGCCCATGGCAGGCACAGCACAGTCTCCTGTGAAGTTCTCTTTTCCTGGGCCCATGGCATCTGAATTCATGCATTCATTCTGCATGTGAGCTTCTTTGCTCTTAGTCACGTATCACCTGGTCCCAATAGAGTTGCTCAACCAGAGGACTGGTACCTGTCCTTTGGTCTTCATGTGTTCATCATTATTGTTATTGCTGTTGTGTGATTGTTGGGGGTACAACATCATGGTGCTGCAGGAGCCACAGCAGAAAAGCAGGCAGGGTGTGCCTGGATGGGCTCAGCAGGGAAGGAAGCAGTCCTCTGCGTCACAATGCAGGGTTAAGGAACAGGGCAGACGACTCATGGACATCGTGACTGACATAGACGGACCTGCATGTCTCTTCACATAGGTTAGAGACATGCATAAGATGGGAGATAGTGAAGAAGTACTTCTGTGTGTCACACACACACACATACACACACACACACACACACACACACACAAATCGGGGGAAGGAGAGATTTGTATAGCCCCTCACTATAGCAGAAGTGAAACAGCCAGACAAGTGGTTTTCAGGTGTTTCTCTAATAGCCATGGAACTCTTTATCAAGGTATCAAAAGAGCAAAGCTGCTGTTACAGAGAAAGGGAGGATTTCCTTTCATTTCACCCCATTCCCAACCCTGAAGTGATTCCTTGGAATCCATAGAGCTCTAAGATTACAGCTTGAAAACTCAGCACAGCAATATTTGATAGCATCCTGAAAGGCCGGGTGTAGGTTGAGCACTTGCCTAGCAGCACAAGCCCTGTATTCACTTGAGGAAGGAGGGAGGGAGAGAAGAAGGAAGGGAAGAGGGAGGGAGGGAGGAAAAGAGGAGGAAAGAGGAATAAAGGAAGGAAAAGGGAGGGGAGAGAGAGAAAGAAAGGAGGGGGAGAGGAGAGAGAAAAGAAAGGAGGAGAGAGAAAGGAAGGGGGAAGGAAGAAAAGAAAAGGTTACGGTGGGTTGGTGGCATACTTCTGTAATCCTAGATACTTGGAAGGTGCAAATCAGGAGGATCACAAATTAAAACTCCATCTCAATCAATCAATAAAAAGTTGCACACAGTGCACATGTCTATCATCCCAGCTGTGCTGGAAGTGTAAATAGGGATCGTGGTCCAGACTACCCCAGGCATAAAAGGCAAGACCTGATTTGAAAAATCTGTCTCCTGATAACTTTCCTTATGATCTTAGTTCTTCCACCATATGCAGTAAAGAGAACAGACCTCTTCCACCTGAAGCAGCTGCATGATCTTAGTCCTCTCAACAGTCACACTTTCACTCATTCAAAATCAGTTTGAACATGTCTCAAGCACACGTGACATTAGGGCTGAAGACTCTGTCTTTGCCCTTTGGTGAATTCCCACATCTGAGAAAGATGATTTTAAATCACCCAAGAGAGAAAAGGAGGATAATGGAGCCCAAATCATGGGACTTGTAGAATTAACATGCAGTGTGTGTTAAGGGATAAACACAGCTCACATGACAAAGGGGGAAAGGCAGTTCTGGCCAAATACCACAAGGAAATAGATGCACAAAGCAAATGAGAGAGAGAGACAGAAACTGAGAGGCAGTGCATTGTTGTTGGAGCACTGAGGGTGAGGCGGTAGGAGAAACTAGCCCAAAAGGTAGGAGCAGAGCTCCTTGGCAGTGGGGTTTCCTGGTGTCCAGAAGGGAAAGGAAAGCCACACGGCAGGATTAGGACCCTTCATCTTGACTACACTGGTCCTATTGAGTCAAATGATGTATACACTTAGAAAAGTCTAAATGCACAAGTTTCCATTAAAAGAAATTTAGAAAATGTTCAGGATGTTTTCAGTGAGCAGTCTGCCATGTTTTCATGAAACAGATCATTAATGAATTCTCAGTTGTTCCAGAGTATGGAAAAGAGGAGGAGAGCTTTCCATTTTCAAACTCAAGGCAACCAGCCTAACATTAATTCCAGAACGCACCAGGATGGCATAGGAAAAGAAAAGCCAAACCAGATTTGGGAACATTGATTTCAAAAATCCTTAAAATGCTATGAAGCAGAATACAGCAGAAGGTTAAGTGAATAACAAACATTACAGCCAAAGTGTCATTATTTCAGAGATGCAAGAAAGGTTTAATATGAATAAATTAATAGATCTAAGGTGAAAAAATCAAGATATTTCTATACTCACTGTGAAAAGAAACACACAACTCAACAGCCATTCTTAATTTTTTAACTCAATAAAGACGTCCATAGAAATTGGGCAGTAAGTGTTATACCTGATGAGAAGCTCTGGAAACACTGAGGCAGAATGCTAAGATAGCCCATGACTTCCTCCCATGGCATCCACGCCCTGCATGACCCCTCCCGTGGGTCACAGGTGACTCAGTTCCAACCAGTGGAATATGGCAGGTCAAACTAACATGGTAGAAGGTACCCCAATTCCTCTAGGACTTACTTTCAAGACCCCCCAAAGGATGCATGAAAACTGTGTTAGTACTGAACCTTATTATATCCACAGTAAAAGCTATGAGTTATTTTTCTGGAATTTTCCGTCCCTAATCATTGGGCTAAGAGTAACAGAGAATGCCCAGCACCGTCCTGGTGAGCCTGGCCTACTTCCGGCAGGCCCAATGCCTTTCCAGGGGCCTCCCATTGGAAATCAGCCTCCGTGTGCTGGCAGGAAAGGGGGAGTTAGAAACCAGACAGCCCCACTCAGTGGCCAGCCAGCAGTGGAGTCCTTGAACACAGAAACGTAATCAAGATGTGGTGGCTGCTTTAAGGCTGCATGTTGAGGTGACCCGGCAAGAGCCACTGAAATGCATCACTGAAAGGAGTCCTCAGATAGAAATGCTGACAATGCCACCATCTTTGCTCTTGGTGGCTAGGTGAGGGGAAAAGCAAACAATGTTATTGACGCACCTTGGAAACGCCAAGAGAGTAACACCTGAGAAAGTTAGTAATGAATTGTAACGCAGCTTCCAGGCAGAAAGAAAGACATGAAGGAGAAAGGAGTCTCAGATAAGAAATGCCTGACAATGCCACCATCTTTGCTTTGTGGCTAGGTGAGGGGAAAGCAAACAATGTTATTGACCACCTGGAAACCCCAAGAGAGTAAACTGAGAAAAGTTAGTAAGATTGTAATCAGCAGCTTCCGGCAGAAAGAAGACATGAAGGAAAGACCTAACTCACAGCAGCAACACAGCAGACAAAGCACTAAGCTGCGTCGGGGAGGCCCCAGGGTTCACGTTGGCTGAAACGTTCCACACCGTGAGGCACTAACCCTGTGGAAACTTAACTCACGCGTGGCAGCTAGACGTAGGGCTTTTCGGGAAGTGCTTAGCTCAGGTTAAGGCCATCCTGGTGGAGGACCTGCAGTTTGATTTTTCGGTGGCTTTATAGTGAGAGGGATCAAAAGATGCACATGTGCAACACGTCCTGCCTCTTGCCACGTGATACCTACACCCCTCGTACCTCTGCCAACAAGAAGGCCATCACCAGGTGCAGCCCCTAAGCCTTCCCCCAATATGTGGGAAAGACAAACCTCTTTATTATTAAGAGTAGGCTGTTTCTAAGTATTTCGTTATAGTGACACAGAATAGACTGATAAACACGTAATAAAAATTATGCAAGATACAGGAAGAAAACTTTAAAAAACATTAACGAACTCACAAAAGATTTTATCAAATGGAAAAGCCTACATGTTTTGGATAAGAAGGATCTTCAAGTAAAATATGTCAATTGTCTTTAAGTTAACTTATAAATTTAAAGTGGCCCACAAAAAATCCAAAAAAAGTTTGTTGATGCTTTTTTAAATACAAAAAAGTACCAAAATACAAAGTACATGTAGAAAAAATAAATAGCCATGAAAAACTAAAAAAAGAAGAACAACGAGAAGGCTGGCTCTACCCGACATTATGACATAAAGACTATCATCAAGACCAGGTGGTTGTGAAGAGATAATTTAGTGAATGTAATCTGTTGGAAATTTTAGGTGTACAACCAAATAGAAGATAGTTATTATGTGATAAAGAATCTCCAATAAGTCAGGCAGATTATTCAGTCAATGATGTGAGGGTAACTGAGGAACAACTGACTAAAGTAAAGAAAGGCTAGATCAGAACATCCTGCCTTAGACCAGCATAAATTCCAGGGGTCAGGGATTTTTTAAAGTTTTTAATGAAAGCATAAGAATTCTAGAAGAAGCCATGGGAAAAGCACGTGCAGCCATGGTGTGCAAACAGTGGGATAAAATAAGCAGAGACAAATGACAAGGTGGAAAAGAGAGTTTGCAGCTCATCTCCCTCAAACTGCAAAGAGCTCAGACACAAGATAGGGAAAGGCCAGCACTCCACTATCAGTCGTGTTATGTATTCAGAACTAGAGTTAAAATGAGATGCCACTTACCCTAGTCACAGACGCTGCAGCAAAGAACTGCAAAATATGTGGAAACCCTTTAAGTGGCAGTTATGGAATTTCTCTAAAAGTCAGTAAAGAAACAAACTGTTTTTGTTCATAGGTAGAAATATTCCACGTTATATTCATAAACATAAGTGGAACCTCACCAGCTGATGCTAAATTGTATATGATGGAGCGAAGGAACTACGCGCCTTAGCAGACACAGTCATTGTAGTATAGTGTTCATGCCAGTGCATCAGTGTTAATACTAATGACAGCATTGTAATGTGCATGGGGCTGTCACGGCTAAGGCACTAGAGGAGAGGGCTTGGGGACAGCAGAGACGGAGTGCTGTGCCCATGCACATGGTGGGCACCACCACCAGTGGGGACGGTCTGTGAATGGATGACACCGACGATGACGCGATGGGACGGCCAGTCAGAAACAAAATGGACCCATTCACACTAAACAACAAGCCATTAGCTCAGATCAAACGAAGAGCGGATATGAAAAGCAAAACTTTGAAGTTCTTATTTTTAAAATAAGAGAAAATCTTTATGACCTTGACTGGATACTTTATGATTTTTTTAAACACTCCAAATGCACAAACTATGAAGGGAAAAAATTGATATATTTAGCTGTCAAGGTCACTGGTTTTTTTTAAATGGAAATAGCTTCAGTGGACTCATATAAGCAAAGTCTTGACTAAAGTAGCTTGCTCAATAAGTAGGCAATGGAGAAGTAAAGCCAGGGAATGTGGACTCCCATTTTGAGAAAATTCAAAGGGAAAAGAAGGAACATAAGGCTGCATAGCATTTTGGAAAGAAAACTGGGCTAGCAGTCAGCAGACTTGGCCTGGAGGCCCCAGCACCACTTCTTACCTTATACCTGGAGCCCTGATTACCTCTTCTTACCTGGAGCCTTTGATCACCTTTGCCCAGGTCCCTTCATCCCACTCTTGTCTCGAAGTCAGGCATTCCTTCACTCACACTGTTCCCCGAGTCTTGAAAAGTACTTAAGCCACCTCAGCACAGAGTGTTCAGTCTCTCTTCTGCACTTATTAGGTTCTGGGGTTTGAACTCAGGACCTCATGCTTGCTAAGCAGGACTTCTAACACTTGAGCCATTCTCCAACCCTCCTAGGGAAGTTTTAATAGATGATGTCTAATCACAAGTACATTTCTTACTTCAGGACTAGGGACATGAGTGAGGCTGTGGGTTCAATTCCCAGGGCAGGAAGAAAAAAAAAACTCAGCTCAATGAAATAATATAATTAATACTGTATGTACTTCGTCTTATCACATCGAATTTGTAAAATACTTATTTATGAATCCAATAAGAATATTGTGGGATAAAAACAAAACAAGCATGGGAGAGTATTTGAGAACAGAAAAACCCTTATTCAAAGAGACTAGCTCCTCGACAGGTCAAAGCAAGAAGGTGCATCTATCTGCTCCCCACAGGAGGACCTGCTCCCCAGACAGCAGTGACTTACGAGTATACTGCACCAGGCGTAGTTACTGGCTCAGAGGAGGAGAAATGGTGACATGACAGTGCTTTCAGACAAAGTTACTAAATTAAGGATTATTATAGCAGATATAATTCTGTGTCAGCATGTTCATACAGAAGCAATGGAAGAAAGTGTAGCAGGAAAATTTAAAGCACCAATTATAAAAGGTTTATTTTAATTTGTATTAGGTATAAAATACATCATTTAAAAGTTTGTTTTGTTATCCCTAAATCATTATACAAATTTGTCCAGTCTTAATAATAGAACTTTATCCTTTTTGCTTAAAATTCTGTTTTCAGAGATTCTGAAGTCTGTAGGAGACACTCTCTGCGCCTTCCACTTGTACAAGTGCCTTGCCTGCGTAGAGCATTCCTTGTTTTAGATACTGATCCCCGAGATTGTCCTCGCTGGGAGTCCTAGTGGAGCCCAGATTAGCTGAGGGCAAAAAGGGAAAACAAAAGCCGCGCTCACAGACAGCTAACGTGGTACAGTGACACAGCGTGAACTGTTTCAGTAGGAGAAGTTAGGGTGGTCAGAGAAGTAGCCAGCGGGAGCCCTTACCATTTTCCACCCATCTAACTGCATATTTTAGGATGGTTCAACCCGTGACCCATGGCTTCAGCACATGAACCTGTGAAGTCAGCATGCTGACCTCTGAATGCTGAGTGACTGCTTTGAGACGCCTTCTATATCTCTGCTAGCAAAGCAGTGCAGTGTGGACTCACTTGTTTCCATTAATTATACAGGAATTTAAAACATACTCCATTGTTTTAAAAATCATAAACACTAGAAAATAGAAGAAAGTAGGAAAGGTATACTTGTGGTGTCACATTCTGAAGACACTCGTAAAGCTGCCCACATGTATTTCTCCAGTCGCTCTCTTACTCTTACCTGTCAGTGAGGACCTCGACCCTGAGCACCAGACCTCCCTTCTACATCAGCATCACGCTCCACGGTGTGTGTCTGTCCAGCCAGCTAGCCACACTCGGTTTTTGATTCATTTCAAAATGATTGCAGGCATTAGGATACCGCTCCTTAAATAATTCAGCATGAGCATCCTTAATTACGGTTCAGTATTTGGTACTGCCTCTTCATTTCAAGTAAAATTCATGTACTGAAATGTAAATCCTGTGTACCATTGCTGTTTTGGCATTCATATAACCCAGCCCCTATCAAACATTACATTTTGTTCTTTTTTCACTTAACATTATAATGTGATTACAAATCATCATAAATGTAATTGTAACGACAATACGCATGATATTTTCAATTTAACTTTTTAATTGATGTTGAAATGATTTTGGTGTTTGATTTGAGTTAGGAGGTTGAATGGATGTTTTTCTCACATCCGTTATCTTGTCAGCGCCTATCAGTTCTTACCGCCTTCATTGATGTGAACTTCTTCCTTTCAGTTCTGATCCTGTGATGTGATGCACTGACTCTTCCATACATTTCACAGCACCTTCCATGGCTACTCTCCAAAAGTCTCAGGAGCCAAAATGGCGAATTATTCCATTAAACAAAGTGACACACCCCACCCCTGCAGTTCTGGTGATCAAAACTAGGGCTTCAAGCATAGTAGGCCAAGTGTGCACCACTGAGCCACAGCCCAGAAGCAAAATGGCTTTGTTTTAGCCTCTGTGATGAAATTGAGGCCTAATTTCCAAAAGTCCTCTGGCCCAAAACTGACTCTGTTACATTTAGAATCAGGTTTTTCATTTGCAGACCATCAAACACAGAAGCTGAGTGGGAGTGCTGTATCTCTAGAAGGCCACGCTCTGGGTCCCAGGCTCAGACATACTTCCTCTTCCTCCTTACTCACTCTTCCCCAGCTTTGTCCAGATGGTCTAGGCCATATATGTTTGGAAGTGTTCCATCGTGTGCTTCCCGCTGCTGGAGAGTGCATTCTGACTCTGCACATTGAAAGTACTGTGCGGATATTAGCTGACCTCTACCAGCAAGACTCGCCCGTGTCAGGGCCCTGACTTGAACCGCTGGAACCCCCAGATGGATGGTGCTGCTCACTCATGTGAGCAGAAGCAGTGATTACAGGACAGCAGCAACCTTTGACACTGTGCAGCAGAGGCAGGGCTGTGCTGAGCAGCTCAAGCTCCCTGCTGCTGGGCATGGTGGCGAGAGGGGACAGTCAGAATGGCTCGTTTCCAGTTTCTCTGCTTAGGATTGTTATGACTTGCTGCAATTTTTGCTTTTTTAACAGGAGATAAAGGAAAAAAAGAAATTCTGCAAGGTGTATGTAGAAGACCTTGTAAAAGAAGCCGCAGAGATCAACATGAAAAGCGAAGCCTTGCAGAAGCTTTGGCCGCAGATGTTCATCGAGCTGGTGAGGGACGCCGTCATAGAGGTTCACAACAAGAACTCCTACATGAAGTTCTGCCTGCAGCAGGTCACCGACCGCAAGTAGCAAGAGCCTCAGGCCAGTCCACTTGGGCAGCTTTGTTATTTTTAAGGCTGGAAATGCGAAGTTGAACATGTCCGAGACAACAGCGCTAGCCTCCAAACAGAAAGATTAATATCAGAGCACCATTGCCCCCAGTTCCAGAGTGAAGCTAGAAGGAAAGGCGGAGGCTTGTTTCCTGCATGTGGACACGAGCAGCCTTTGCAAACAGCGTGTCGGGTGGCTTGGTGTTAGGTCAGCCATGCAGCGATGGGTCCTGCTCTCCTTGCACCCTGCTGAAGGGTCAGCATAGGTTGCTTCTACTTCCAGCTGATAATTTTCATTTATTCGCCTTTTTATTTTATGTCATGATTCAAAGCTGAAAAATGTTCTTTTTTATGAGTGAAGAATAAACTTAATACATTAGTATAAAAAAAAGTGTTTGCCTTAATCTGGTCAGTAATATATATTGTGTGTTCTGTTCCTCTTTGGTTGGGTGGGAGTCCCCGCTGTTCACCTACATGGAGGGAGGCCCATTCTTCTAGGGATGTATCCTCAGGGCCTCCAGGGGCACCTGGGAATCACTGTGACCAGAGAATATGAAAATGAGCCAGTACCAGGCTAGGAAGAAAATGTGTGGTCTTATGGGATCCTGGGTAAGTGGAAAAAAGTCACCAGCAGTTGAGTCCTTTCTCTGAAAGGTGTTTCCTTCTGTCCTTGACTACCACTAGGCTTCTTTAATAAATGTGAAAAAAAAAAAGCATGGAGGATGTGTGGGTGGAAGGCTCTGATTGTCTAAATTCCATTTGAGGAAGTGGGGAAAGAAGGCGCCAGCAGAGGCGTAGTGGGAAGGGTGGTCACATCTGTTACCATAGCTTGATGTGGTACAGCTCAGGAAAACGACCCACAGGTCAACAGACTGGGCCTCTGTTGTGCTGGAATCTCCCCACTGGCATGCCAGCAGGATCTGGGACACTGGGACACCAGACACGGGCAGCAGAGTCTGCCTGCAAAGGTACCCGGAGGGAAGCTGGGGGCCCTGCCATCACAGTCCTAAGCCCTCCTTAGGATCTGCACATCCCTGAAGCAATGCCCAAGGTTAGTAGGCTAATGTGTTTTCTAAAGTCTCACTGTCCCAGGTTAGCAGCTGGCACTCAAACTAGTACCTTGGTGACTGAGGATCCATCTGATCCCATCTTCTCGTAATAGTAGCTACTTTGTGAGACCGTGGTGAGGATTCAGTGATATGGTATATGTGAAGCATCTCTGGATGCTGAGGAAACAGCCAGTAAGCGGAGCTATAATTATTCTTTTGGATACAGGCTGAACCATGGCGTCCAAGTCCTAGGACCAAGAGAACAGATGTTACCGCATTGCTTGATGATCCTTCAGCCTGTCCAAACTGAAACACAGCGCGTTTCTCATCTGACAGGTGAGTGGTGGCCTCCCGTGGAGATTGTATCTTATCTAGTGTAGAAAGGAGCGTCCATTTTAAGGGTGATGTTGAGAGGAAAACCAAGCATATCTTGTTTGTGGGCTTTCAGAAGGCAGGAAAGATGTAAGAACGCAGCCTCCGTAAGAGTGCAGGATGCCGTGGCCTACCCTGGGCCTCGCAGGCCCTTCAAAGTCATCCTCCCGACCCACTCTCCTCCTGCTCCTCCCACCCCTGCCACTTACAGATCTTGACCCTCACATGCGCTCTCAGCCCTCCTCAATCCTTCTGGGAACTTGAGGAACCCAAGGTTCCTTGAGTGGGCACCCTGACACTGTTTCCTCCTCCTTAGCTCTGGGCTCTGCTTTCTTTGCACAGAGTTCCCTATTATCTGCCCCCACCACCCATACTGATGGCTACTTCTTGAATCCTTGTTTTGTCTGGGCCCACACTTTCGGTGGCTGTGCTCTATTCTCCCAGTTTGTTTACCGAACTTCCTAGGTGATTGTAATCCCCAGATGAAGGATCAGGGAACGTGGGTCAACTGGATCTAGGATCAAGGAAGTGTCCATTGTCATGAGTGATGGTGATCCATAGAACGGATTGTCCCCTGTACTTGGGACTTCCATGGTTTTCAGGGCAGAGACCAAGGTTGCACACACATAGTCCAGGTTAGAGTGTACTAAAGGGTCACTTTGTTTCCAAAGGAGATCTCAAGCAGAAACAGAGTTTCTGCCTCAAAAGCAGAAACATCCACTATCCCCACTTTGGGAGTTGCCTTATCTACATTCTGGTTCTACAGCTGGATGGTCACATGTGCTGCTAGACCCGGGAATGGTGATCACAGCTGCCATGCATGTAAGGCTGGCTAACTGTGTCCTGAGTTTGAGGGGGTGCTATACAGCTCCCCACTTCCCGAGCTTTGCTCTGTGAAGGCCTAGCTGTGAGCCAGTGCAGCCCTGCCGTGCTCCTGATCCATTCTGATCAGGGGTTCATAGTCTTCTTGCTGTTTAATAACAACTGCCATGACAGAGACTCACCAAGCAATGTGTCACACCATTACAAGGTCTTTACACCTCCTAGTTGTATGCTAGTTACCCCTATGGAGCATTGGAAAGCTGAGCACAGAGTGAAGTAACTCATGCAGGATATTTCAGCCACAAAGCAGGAGATCAGGCCAGCACTCACCATTGTCTTCAGAATCTGACATGAGGGGAAGATCTTGGTGCTCATGTTCTTTCCTGATCTGCTTTCATGCCTTGCTAATGAAAACAGAATTTCTCAAATATGCCAACATGTGTGGCACATTGAAGAACATTAAGTATAACACAAACATGAACTGTACATGAACACATGCCTCGTACGGTGTACTCGAGGTATAAGTATGAAAAGTCTAAAAATACTTGGCATATTCTTACCAGTAATGCCAAGAATGAATGTGAGAAGGGAGTAAGTGCAAGAACCAGTGAAGAGGGCCCGTGGGGCTGGTAGGGTACCAACATGATGGTGGCCCAGACCAAGGCCATGCCGCAGAGGGGTCAGGAAGTATTGTGAGGCACAGCTAACACCATCTGCTGGTAGGCTGGACGTGGGAGTGAGGGACTGGGGCCAATGACCCTGCCTAAGCTTTGGGCTGGGGATCTGAAAAGTCTGAGTTACCATCAGCTGAGATGAGAACCAGCGTGAGTGGAGTGTCTTCAGGAAGGAATAGCAGGGGCTCCATCGTGTATGTGTTGGTTTGAGGCTGTAGCTAAATATCCAAGGCCCGTGTTTAGTAGGTGGGATATAGAAAGTGAGAGTTGGAGAGAGAAGTGTGACTTGGAGTCGTCAGTACATGGTACTGACTTTCAGCTTTAAGTGAATAAACCTGTCACTGGTTAAATTGTCATCAAAGATTATTTGCCTTTTGAGTTTTTGATTTACCTGTGATTTCTTCACATGGTCAAGTATCTCTTAGCATTTCTCTTTATGGGTTCTTTGATTGTAATTAAGCTTATTCAAAAAGTACATAATAATTCACCTATGCCCTTTTTTTTTTTAACATTTCTGTAGTCATGAAGAATTGCCTATATCTATTTCTCTATGAATTGGTTCCACACTTACTCTGTTATTAATGGTTTATTGACCAGCCAAAACATGTCCTGACCATCTGTTCTTTGGGCAAACCTTTTGGACTTTATTCTCCCTGATCCCACATTATTTAGTAAGATATTCTTGGGGGGGGCGGGAGGGAAGAAGGAAAGGAATGGGGGAGGAAGAGAAGGGGGAAGGAAGGAGGGAAAGAAGGAAGGGAAAAGGAGAGAAGGAAGGGAGGGAGGAAGGAAAGGAGAGAGAGAGGGAGGGATCTGGCTAGTTAGCACGGCAAAATGCAAAATAGAATAAAGAGAGACTTCTTGGGAAAATATTAATTTTAAACTTTGAAGAACAAAGATCAGTTTTCCTAACCTGCTTTTATGGGTCAGCTGGAGATAGAGTGGTTAGTGTTGCCAAGAAACTCAGAGCCAAGTTTGAAACTTGATCACAGTAACTGTGGTCAGCCAGTATTGATGAAATATTTGTTATCTTTGATCCTGATTTTCTACTTACATTTACATTTTCCTGGCTTACTGTCTGTGTCTTTTGTTGCAAGCCACCTTGAATCCTTTATGGAAAGAGCTAAAGTATATTCACAGCTCTGAAGAATAAATGACTCCTAAAGAATAAAGTCCATTCCCTGGGGAGTAAAAGAGTTTGCAGTTTCTCCTCAGGAGACAATGGGGCTATTTATTAACTCCTTACTCCAGTCCCTCCAAGCCTCCGTGGTCAGAAGATTGACTACTTCTCTTTGTTTATCTTGAAATATTTCAACATGCAGAAATGCATGTAGAATAGTATCTCAAATAAATACCCTGAATCCACCACCAAGCATAACAGACCTTAATATTTGCTTCGGATAGCTAGAAACACATTACAAATAGCAGTGGCCTCACTGAACACACTTCTTCCCTGAAGGAACCACTATGCTGAATTCCACACTTATTATTCACCAATGTTTCCCTACAATTCCTCTTATGCATGAATCCACAGGAGTTGAGTCTTTGTATTTTCTAAGTTTATGTAAACGGTATCATGCAACATGCCTCTGCATCTTTTTTCTATATTCTGTGTCTAAGGGCCATTCTCATTGGTGGTAGTAGGTCTTTCATCTTCATCGCTATTTGAAATTTGGTTGTGAGGCCAGTGCTTGATTCATAGATCCGTTCTCCTGTTGGTGGCGCTCACGAGGTTTCTGTTTAGAGCTAGTACAGATGCTGCTGTTTTGCCTAAGTCTGTCCCTGTGTGTGTTTGGGACACAATCCCAGTGGAATTGCTGAACTGTACGAATAGACACAGCTCTCCTCAGTAATATCGTAGTGCTTTCTACAGTGATTGGTGTCAAATTCTCCCAGGAGCAGAGAGTACAAGTCACAGTTGTCACACATACCCACTGACAACAAGAATTTTCATGTTTCCACTCTAATGTGTTCAAGTGGAGGGGTGTGCATGTGCGTGTGCTTGTTGGCTTTTGTGCAAAGGAGACATTGCTCAAGGCTCTCTCAATTTGCCCTCAAGGTAAGGTTCACATGCAGTGCAGTGTGCTGAAGGGTGCAGTTGGGTGAATTTTGGAAAGATGATCGACATCCCACTTAGGCTAGAAGACATTTCAATCACTTCATCTCCCACATAAGCACTACGGCTCTAACCATTTTCCCCGTTGCTGGTCTGGACCCACACAGTGTGAACTCTTGTGTTTCTGGTTTCTTTTACCCGATAGGATGTTTTTTAGATTCACCCATATTGTTTTAAGTATCAATAGCGCATTAGTTTTGGATTGCTTGGTATAAAGATACCACAATTCGTTTATTCATTCCCCTG